GATGGATGGATGGATGGATGGATGGATGGATGGATGGATGGATGGATGGATGGATGGATGGATGGATGGATATTTTAAATATGTTGTTGCAGCACTTACATGTTTAACAGTACAAAATGCATAACGGTGAAGCTGGATGGAAAAAGTAATAATTACAGGTCATTTTTCTAAACGTCATCTGTTCCACCATGTTAGGGATGTTTACATATGAACTACAAAGACTTAAACATGTAATATTGACCAATTATGACTTTTTCTTTGAAAGATAATGTCCTTTAACAAAAAGAACATTATCTTTCTAAGAAAAATTGTATGTTTTTTCCTGAAACTGTAACAGATAATTTAGTTACAAATCATTTACAGTTGTATTATAAAATAATACAATTTATTTGACCTATTTTACTGACAGCATGGAAAACAATGGTAGTTTTAAAATCTTATCGTCACTTCTCAACATGGCTTAAAAAGTTTTACAATTCAAGTTTTTTTTATTGCCTGCTGTCTTTCATGTCAGAGTTTTAGACTAATCATCTCATGATGACAAAATAGGCATTTTGGCCAAACCTTAAAAATAACTCAGTGAACAATTCAGTGTTATATATGTCATGCACAGAGCTCATACTTATTGTGAATAATGTTATCACATTAAGTTGGAGCTCCAAATAATCAAAACCAACTTACAGCCATTTTTGTGTTTTCAAAGTTCAGTTGAATGTGGCAGCTAGTTTTAATTGGGTTGACATCAGAAGTTATTCAGTTATAGAATTAAATTCAATTTTTATTTTCTGAAACACATTTATTAGATGTAACACAGACCTTTCCATAATTTGATTACCACAACTGAAACGTCTGTTTCATATTTGTTTTCACCAGATATTTTTTAAAATACAAATATCTGGTGAATTATATAACTTTTGTCTTATAAAAAATGACAGGAAGGCTATTGTTCAAAACATGAAAAACATTTTTCATTGTTTTTAAATACACAGTATCTGTATTTTTATATTTACTCATTTTTAGCCTGTAAAAATACTGTATGTTTTTACATRAAAAGGCTTGGTAGCGCTTTCTTTTACAGTACCCTTTTTACCATGTAATTACATGGTAGTTACATGGTAATAAGATGGTAATAACTTGTAATTAGACATTATTACAATGTAATTACATGGTAATTATATTTTTAATTACATGGTTATTACCATGCAATTACATGGTAATTAATTACAAGTTATTACCTTGTAATTACCATGTAATTACATGCTAAAATGGATATTGTATTGTCTGTTTGTCTATTGTATAAGTCTGTTTGGGCTCCTTTGATTAGTTTCATCACATGGTGAGGGTGGGGGGTTTGGGATCGGACCTCTTGGGCATTGAGGCTGGTGGGGGTGTATTGGGGTCTAGAG